CTGGTTACTCGGACTCGGAGCGCTCTGGGCCGCTTGGACCTGCAGGAGGAGGGCGGGTGGAGGGGCCAAAGAGTACGGGAAGCGTAACCGGCGGAGATGCGCTGGACGAGACGGATCTGGAGGACGATGCTGAGGAGAATGGGATGACTGGTGGGGAGCATGGATTCACGCCTGCAAAGACTTCAGTGAGACGGCCGGCTACGGTTCATTCTCGCAGCGGGCGTGGCGCGGGGCAGAGGGCTGGCGGCTCTACGGGTGGTGCGGATGAGGTACGTGAAACCCGCTCCTCTCCTTCGCAGCCGCAGGACGCAGCCTTACGGAAGCGCAGCCCCGTTCCGCCACAACGGCAGCCTGAGGCGTCCCTTCCTGCTGGGAGAGCTGAGAGAGCGCTGAGCTCACCGTCTGGAGCTGAGAAGGGGTCAAGAGGATCCTCGGCGGCAAGGAGTCCCGCGACGATTACAATCAGGACGGTGGAACCGGAGAATGATGGCGCCACGGACATGGACATGGACGGACAATCGACCGTCCGTGCAGTAGGCGGGAGAAAAATGGCGGTGGAAGGCTGGTGGAGTTCTACTGCTTCATCTGAGACAGGTGGCGATGACGATCAAGAATCGTTAAGGTCCGCCGGTACGACTGCAACGACAGCTCTATTTTCATCTACAAATCTCGCCTCAGCGCCGACCGAAGCTGCTTCATCGACAGGCCCAACATCCCCGCCCCTCCGCCTGCAAACTTTGGGTGGCCTTAGCCCTGCGACGTCTATCTCTAGTCTCCGGCACCGTCGCGATTTAGATAGCTGGAACCGGGGAAGGAAAGGCAGCGATGCTAGTAGTATCTCTGAAAGAGGAATTGGGCTCGTGAAGGCGAAGGCGGGGGCTGTGGTCGGGGGTGTGGACATGAGTGGTGGGCAGGAGGGGTTGGGAGCGAAGGGAAAGGGTCCGGGATTGGGAAAGGTGAGTGGAGGTGGTTGAGAGGAGGGTAGGAAGGCTTAGTTGAGTTGACAGCTTTTGGGAGCTGAAGGACTAGACAGGCTATTCTTGAGGCGGGAGAAGGTTGTGTATGCTGTTGCTAAACAAGAGCTAAATGCCTGAAAGAAAGCTATCGCTCTCCCCCTCCAGCCCAGGGAAGACATTTCAACTCCTCCAGCCAGGGTTAAGTACCTAGGTAATAATTGAAAGCGCGGTGGTCAGCGTGCGAAAGCGCACATGGCAAATGGTACGCCTCTCATGGGGAAACGTCTTCAGCGTCTGTATCGTCGTCTTCACACCCTATCTGGTGGGCGGACGATATATTAGCAAAGTCGGACGATATTCGTGTTACGATCCACGATCCGGAATGCTTGAGCATTGATAGACGACTCCATCTCTCACTCGTCAAATGCTGGTGGTTCGGGGGCTTGGGAGCCTAGAACGCAGCCAACGTCACGAGTTGTCGCGCGACGACCTACGATTGCCTCGCGATTGTGTTGGGCGAGGCATGTTGAAGGACAGGCAACGCGTGCCGCTACCACGAACCAGGTCGACACGTGGTAGAGCACGTGCTGTTTTGGGGGGTCGCTCTTCGGCTCGCTATTATTCAAGTGAGTCTGGGCGGTGCAAGAGTCCCGTTCGACGGCATTACTCTGGTTATACATCCTCTGAGGGAAAGGTCACCACACACCCAGCATGGATGTGGTAGTGGTATGCGTCGTTCAGGCGGACTTCAGCGAACGTGAAGAGCACAAAGTGTACATATTCGTACACCACCACACGTGTTTAGCTCGCTGGCGTGCTCGCCATGATCTTCTCGGCTTCGAGAAAGGTGAGACAGACAGGCGGAAGTAATACATCATGTCTGTAGCAAATTGATCGTCGTTGCTGCGTATGGCCCTGCAGGAGTTGAAGACTTGGTGTGCTGTACAAGCCGATAGTTGTAGCCGGCCAGGGACAGATTATTGTTTGTCGTCGGCGTGGGGAGGTATGTGATAGCGAGATGGGGGAGTGTGTCAGAGAGGCTGAGTAAGCTACTTAGCTCGCAGCGAGCTGCCTCTTTCGGGCGACGGCGGGGTTGCGGAAGAAGGAAATGTGCGACTGAAAGACGTTGCAGCAGGGCGAGCAGACAAAGGTTCGCATGCAGGCCCCCGAAAGCAACGTCGTCTTGGCGATATGTTGATATCGTGGAGCGAACAGAGGGTTCTCCTGACAGCTACCGGCAAACGCAATTCCTCGTGACGAAACGAGTCCATTGGCAGTAGCAAATTGAATGTTTGGGTGTGATGTAGTTCGCCACCACCCATCGCCCGTTTAGCAGTGGTGAAAGGTGAGAGGCTCAATAATGATTCTTGAGAATTGGGTCCGATTCCATCCCGGCCAATGCGGCTCGAGCAAATCGGCACTAAGTCAGCGACGAGCGTCATCCACTGCGGGGACGTCACTCGGCGACAGGGTCCGTCCATCGTTGCCATCATTGTCGCCACCACGTCTACCTGAGCTGTCTATTGCCGGCACCTTGGCGATAGTCTGAGACCACACCTCACTCCGCGGTACCTTATCGGTCTATCTGCGCCACTAGCGAGCCAGCAGTTATATATTTCCTGTCCTCCTCTCGCTTCCTTCCACAGACCACCCTCTAACGAACATTCTCAACAATATGGCACCCTCAGCAACAACCCACCACGCGCCTGACGGCAAGAAGAACGGTGACCGTTCGTCTCTCCCTACTCTCTCTCTTGACTACTGAAGCACATACTGACTTAACTTTTGCAGTGCACCGTGACTACAACGATGACAGGAACGCCGCGTCTCAGGATACTCTCTACACCACCAGCAATGGCGCCCCGATGCCTCACCCATACGAAACGCAGAGAGTCGGCGAGAACGGTCCCTTGCTCCTGCAGGACTTCCACTTGATCGACCTGCTCTCCCACTTCGACCGCGAGCGCATTCCTGAGCGTGTTGTCCACGCTAAGGGTGGTGGCGCCCACGGTTACTACCAGACCACCAACGCCTTGGACGATGTCTGCGTGGCGGACCTCTTCCAGCCTGGCAAGAAGTGCCCGATCACTGTGCGGTTTTCGACCGTCGGTGGCGAGTCGGGTTCTCACGACTGCGCTCGTGACCCGCGTGGGTTCTCGGTCAAGTTCCGGACGGACGAGGGCAACTGTAAGAAGCTCCAACTACTGTTGCAGCTGCAACACAGCGCTAACAATCACTATAGGGGACATGGTTGCGAACAACACGCCCGTCTTCTTCCTGCGCGACCCAGCGAAGTTCCCGCACTTCATCCACACCCAGAAGCGTGACCCGTCAACCCACCTGACGCACGCGGACGACTCGACGATGTTCTGGGACTACCTGTCACAGAATCCGGAGTCTATTCACCAGGTCATGATTCTTATGGGTGATCGCGGTATTCCAGACGGCTGGAGGAAGATGCACGGTTACGCCGGCCACACACTGAAGCTTGTCAACAAGAACGGCGATTGGATGTACGGCCAGATGCACATGAAGACGAAGCAGGGCACTGGTTTCATCACACAGGAGGACTCCGCCAACTACTCCCCCGATTACGCTCAGAAGGATCTGTACAACGCGATCGAGAAGGGTGACTACCCAGGCTGGGATGTCTTCTGGCAGCTCATGACGCCTAAGCAGGCTGAAGAGCTATGGGAGAACCAGCGCATCAACGTCTTCGACTTGACCCACGTCTGGCCGCACGACCAATTCCCGCTTCGCAAGGTCGGCGAGTTTTTCCTGAACGAGAACGTGCAGAACTACTTCTCGGAGATTGAGCAAGTCGCTTTCAACCCCGCTCACTTGGTCCCGGGTATCGAGCCCTCGGCCGACCCAGTCCTGCAGTCCCGCCTCTTCTCCTACCCCGATGCCCACCGCCACCGTGTCGGCGTCAACTACCAACAGCTTCCGGTCAACGCGCCGCGCGTCCCTTACCGCATGGCCAACTTCCAGCGTGACGGTAACATGGCCTTCCTCAACCAAGGCTCGCGCCCACCCTACCTCAGCTCCATCGACCCGATTGCCTTCCGCAACCGCACCGTCGACCTCGACAAGACCCATGGCCATTTCGCCGGCAACGCCATCACCTTCCTTTCGGAGATCCGCCCAGAGGATTTCACTGCCCCACGCGCTCTGTGGGAGAAGGTCTTCGACGCCGACGCCAAGGACCGTTTCATCAACAACATCTCTGGCCACATGAAGAACTGCCACAAAGAGGAGATTCTCAAGCGCCAGATCGGTATCTTCCGTGAGGTGTCCGAGGACCTTGCCTCGCGCCTCGAGAAGGCTACGGGTGTGAAGGGATACCCGGGTATCGCAGAGCTTCGCTTCAACGGCACGCACAATGGTATGGCCAAAGACAAAAGCCTGCGCATGGCGAACGGAATGACGAGCCCGGCCCGTGTGGATGACAGCATCACGCCGAACAACGGCGCGCCCCGTGCTGGTACGCACAAGGGCGGCGCCGAGAAGGCTTAAATAGCTGGCTGGCAACAGGTGATGGTTTCCATGAAATGTATGTGTAGATAGATAACCAATTTGATGCTTTGATCCGAACCAACTTGCTCAATTTGTCGTGGCGTCGTATTTGCATACTTCTCATGGTCTCACTCGATAGATGTAAACCGCCTTATTCTATCGCTCTTCCTCGCCCTCGAGTTGGTCATGGAAGCGGGCCTGTTGCCGGTTTGTGGCGAACTGCATATCTGAACCGCCGACCAAGAGGGCAGCAAACACTTTTTCAATGCCCAATTGCCTGTCAAAAGACAGTCTCCCTATCCTATGAAGCTGTATTTCCTCCCTCTCTACTGTACATCGCTTAAGCATCCCATATCCGAAAGAGAAAGCGTTTTGGCGTGACAACCAACCCCACGATCGCTTCCAGTCTTGTTCACCGCCCTGCGCTCATGACTTCCAAAAAGGACATAAGGAACAGTCTCCTTGCTTGACGGACCGCGCTCACTCCCAAGAGCGTGCATAGGTGGGCGGAAGCAAAAAGAAAAATCTTGCGTTGTCGGGGAATCGAACCCCGCCCTATCGCTCACAATCGGAATGGAAGGCGATAATCCTAACCACTAGACCAACAACGCGAGTCATTTCAATCGTCGGCTTAACATTGTATATGACCTCAACAGCTATCGCTGCTGAGTGAACTTGAAAGCTGGCATCACCTGAAGACACCTTCAGCATAGGCAACCCGAAATACGACTCGAGGTGAGAGTTGAAAAGCGCGTGACAGGATGATTTGGCGTCATACGTAGGATGAACGTTGAATTAATTTGCTGCCTCAGCTTTGAGACCTACCATGGGGAATGTACCTTACGCTTGCTCGCTCGCTCGCTCGTCTTCGACATACGTCTCAAGGAAAGAGAACTAAGGTACCTACCTACTGTATGGTAGTTAGAGACTTGCATGAGCTTGTTGTCAACTAGAGCTCTCCAGCCGAAACCTTTCTAGGTATGGCAGTACGCAAGAACTGCAGCTCTCGCTCACGCCGCCTCTTGCACGCCGAGGAAAACGGAATTTGGGTCACGGAAAGGCTTGGAAGAGAACCTTGGACGTGTGTGTTCTGTTTGTTCCTACGTGTAGATGCCGGGGGAAGAGACAAGGGCCGGACGGAGGGATGGGGAATTGGGGACTAGTTCAATAGAGCATCGTACCGTGCAGGCCCTTGGGTATGCAAGTACACGAGTCTTCACATCGACAGTAGAACCCACGCAAAGAGAATGAAGGCAAAGAAGAGTAGGGTGAAGAAAGAAGAAGAAAGAAGAAGAAGGAGCAGAAGAGCAAGAGCCAGAGCACTTCTCTCTAAGTAATCCATTCTGGTATCACCTTATCCCCCACCGCCCTGAAGGAACCTCCCATTCTCAAGAGCCCGGAACTCCCAGAATACAGTCCTGCTCGCTTTGAAGAAAGCCGAAGAAAGAGACCGGGCTAAACCTTTACTACCAAGCCAATTGGTTCCCTTCCTTTTTCGCATAACGCCTTGCCTGCCAAACGAGATTTGATAACAGAAAAAACGGACGATTCAAGAAAAGACAAAAAAAGTTGCATCATCGAGTTGGAAAGTCAGCGCGAGGGTCCATCTTTGGCCGCCGCGGAGCCTTCGGGGTAGAGGTCACAGAGCCCACCAGCTCGCTGTGTGGCTGGCTGGCTCCTAGACGCCGGGGGCTGGGGCTAATGTCGCAAAGCCGAACGTTCTGCCCATGCAGAAGGTGTGCCTTGGAAGCACTGCTCATCCTCTTAGTTAGACTCTCGACAGTTCTCGATGTTGAAGCCCAGAGATGCCAAGCAGAGACCGCAGAAGGAAGTGTGCACTAGGCAGACAGAAAAAACTTGACATCGCTCATCAGCATCGGCACCAGAAGTAGCCTCATACACACAGCGTGCTCCTTTGCCGACTGGCCCAGCCTGAGCCACCTCCGCTAAAACTTGCACAAACCCAGGCTTCCCAGTTCATTCATTTTTTCACAACAAAATCAGATAATTACTCGGCGCGATCCCTGTCTCACCACCTCCTTTCCGCGCCTGCCACCACCGGCCTGAGACGTCGCTGACCTCCAACACCTCGTGCTTAGCAAAAGAAATCTCGTTCGCATCGTCAGGGTTGGCCTCGTAGCTGTAGATGGCTTTGGCGCGGTAAGGGTACTCGGCCGGTTGGCCCGGCATGTCGTGGTGCGAGCGGGAGGGGGTGAGCGGGGGTGCTGTCGACGACTGTTGTTGGGGTATTTGGTTGGGTTGCGGGAACGCCGAGGCGGACTCGCGTTTTGAGGCACCGCCGGGCGGGCCGCCGGGGTATCCGGTCACGGGGGAGCTCGTCTCGAAGCCATGGAGTTGGGCGGAGTTGTACATCTGGTGGTGGGCGGGGTTCTGGGGATGCGGGTTGTGGGTGGATGAGAGGGTAGTTTCCGGTCGGGCGAACGATTGTGTCATGTGTCTGCTGGTGCGCGAGGGGGCGCGGGTATCTTTGTGGAGGGCAAAAGAGTCGATGGTTTGGCGGTGTGTGGCCGTGGGTTGGGAGCCAAAGTAGAAGATCCAGACGATCTGCGAAGCATTAGTCGTTGAATGCATGATGACATGCGTGGAGCGAGACTTACTGAGACCATGGAGAGCAGGATGAAACCTGCTGCTGCTGCTTCCTTCGCTTTGTCCGACCAGTAGATTAGTGAGTTGACCGACGATGTCGTAAAAACGAGCCCTGCGGCTAAGAAGCCCACAATTGCGACATGGTATGTGTACACGGCATTCGCTGCGACTGCGAGCGTGACACCCAAGATGCAGAAGAAGGTGTAGACTAAAGCCCACCAAGAGTAGTTCGGATACTCCTGGTCGATGTCGGCTATAATGGAGCTGACAAAAGCTATCAGCCACCCGGCCTGTGAAACACAGTGGTTAGCTTGTGCTCTTTTTCTAGCCCATAATCGGGCATTGCGCTGGCGTGAAAACTCACTATCGCAATGGCAATGGTTGCAAGCGAGAAAGGGTCGCCAACGATGTTGCCTAGGTCGAAGCGCTTCCCACCACCGCTGCCCCCATATCGGGAGTGATTGTAATCCATCTTCTTAAGGGAGGACCTATTACTGCCGTGGCTGGGCATATGGAGTGTTGGTGTGTAAGTTACGTATTATGAGGTATGTTGATGATGATCGTTTGTGCGCTATGCGGGGGCTAACGAGCGTTGGTGAAGAAGCGAACGAGTGTGCCGGTGTCGCGTGCAGGCACGTCAAGCGTCCTGTGACCGCGACGGAGGTTGGCGAGTTTGTTTTGGCGAGCGGTAGATACGTGGCGCGGACGTGACGGGTGCGTGGGGCAGGTGCGGTGGGTGATGTGGTGTCGCTGCTGGCGCGATGCCGGAGACGGCGGGATAAGGAGGTGGCGCGATGAGCGTGACCAGACGTCGCGGATAGAACAGCGCCGGGCTGAGGGAGAATGCGTGGAAGATATGCGTGTGTTGTTGTGTCGTGGGGGCTGATTCGGATGGGGGTGATGGAGGTTGAGGCACGGTCGTCGTGGGTGATACTATGTGTTTGTCTGGCTGTCTGTCTGTTGGTTGTAGAGTATTTGCAAGGGCCGTGATAACGTCGCGATAACGTCAAGGGCGTAAGAAACGAAGGTAAAGCGCCGTAACAGGCGGCAGGGAGCGGTGCAGGTGGGTGGAAGCGGACGGGAGGTGAGGTGTGCAGAGGACGGGAGTGCAGGCGGTAGAGTGGTGGACGAGAGCGTGTGGTGGTCTGGTCCTGAGTCTCTGCTGAAGATCCCGCCCTGGCCCAAGCCGCAAGCGCTTCCCGGTGTGGCGCTGCTTCTGTAACATGAGCTATCCTCTACTTAGATTACGCTTGCATAGTCCCACGCATCCACCCATCCTGCTTCCTCCATTAATCTCCAGCTCAAATTCACATCTAGCCTTCACTCTGCGACAGTATGCGTTATCACAGCCATCGACTTCTCTATCAGAAGTCAATTGGCTACTCCTTTACACGTACTACCTTTCCAGTAGAAGGGCTAGTATAATGCCCCGTCCCGGCATTAACAGATCAGACTTCTCGGCATCTCAAACTTAAGCGCTCAGATCCACCCGAAGCCTCCGGCCCATGTACTTGTGTCCCTGAATCTCGATTTTCGCGCCCAACAACCCCGGCCGGGCAAGTGGTAGTGAGCACGCTCGACGGCTAGCACTACATGTCCCCCGAGTCGCGACTGTTGCCCGCGACGATCAGGACAAGGTCACGAGCACACAGACAGCCCGGCAGCACCAGCGCGTGGTGACAAGGTCGTGGGCGGGGCATGCGTGAACGTCGCACAGGCGATTCCTGTAGTGCTCGCGCTGGTGCATATGCAGATCGCGCATCTTTGGGAACTGGACTAGAGATGTCGGTGGCGCGAGAAGATGAGTGTGCCGGTAAGGTATGAAAAAGAGGTGAGCGGTTTGCTGTCTCTCCAGACGAACATCGAAGATCTTCCCTTCTCTCGACCACGACCGCCCTCTCCCGCGACATGTACCTCTTGCAGCACGGCCTGCTCGCTTAACAGACCATGCAGAGTCAACCAGCGCCTGCTCGATAACGCAAACGGCAATATTTGTCTCTCCTTCTCTTTCACAGGCATATGGGGCTCAGTAGTCGCTACCATCGTCGAGTGTGAGATCGGTACGCGATGTGACATGTCCATGAACAGCCCTGCTAGAGTAGTTTGATGACCGCACACTTCACGACCGACGGCCTCGATGATGTAGGCAGCTGTGTTCGTTACAGCCATTCACAGAGCCCCGGTCGCTTTCGGAGCAGCATGATGGAGAAATCAAAGCAGAGGACCATGAGACACCTAGGCTTCCTAGTGCTTGAAACCTGGCAGACGGCAGTGGTGGATAGAAGAAGCGATGCTCGCCTTACTCATGGAGTTCTGTTGGGCTTGCCAGCTGGCTTGCTTCGGGGACGACAGTCGAGAGACTGAAGTTGTGAGAGAGGAGGCGAGGTGTAGCGTGCTATTAACAGGGTCGAAGAGACATGGGATGAGGTGATGTGCAATCACTGGATTATGTTCACCCATCCGCTCGAACCTCTTGTCGACAGACTACTCACAGTGCAGATTTACCATGGTCAGTGGTGAGGAGATGTAGGTACCTACATAAGATACCTTACCTTTCAGATGGCCTTGCCGTCGACAGATCGGTGAGATCGAAATGTGGCAGTCGTGCTTGACTCTGGGAAGGTCGATTTTAGGGAAGTGTGGTGCGGACTGTCGTTATGGTGTGGTTTGGTGGGCTGCTGTCCCGACGAGTCTATTGGTATGCATCCTGCCTACAGTAAATGCACGTAAATGTAGTTGTTGGTATGCATGATGGTGAAAAACACCTGCAGGAGAGCCTAGGTAAAGCCGAGGGTCAATGTTGTCATATGCCATGCAGCCACTCTAGGTACGCGTGCTTTAAGACGCGTTGAATCCACCTCGCTCAGCGATCACTGGCTACCTACCTCAAGACTATGACCGTCGCATAAGGCACACGCTCAGACGATCGGAAGACTTCTGATTGGGCGATTGTGTATGCCACATGGCTAGCTATACGATGTTATCATGACCTCTTCGTCGCCGC